ATTGCTTAGGAGTCATTCTGGTCTTCAACTGCTCCAGCGTCGAAACAATGGTGGACTGATGACAGCTCACTCAGGGCAGGTCTAAGGTAAAATGCTAGTGTCAGTCAACAATCGTGGGAGCGGCCTGGGTCTGTGTGATGTCACACAGACAGGCATCTGAGAGTGGCTTGATATGAGAAAGGGGAAATTATTTAACGAGATTAAAAAAAAAACACTGGGTGGAACTTTATCATTATAGGGTGGTTGTGTACACACACACTGCCAACACACATTTCAGTTCAAACAACTTGTAAAAGTGCATGTCGCATCCGATGACCCCTTTTTATGACATTTAAATCTGGAAACCAAACAGGCCACTCAAGAACATTCTATGACCGATCCCTGAATCAAGATTCAGTAGATTTTAATGTATGCTTTGTTAAGATTGCCCTATTGGAAAGTCTGATAACTGAAATGAGCTTCAGTCTATTCACCAAAAACATCACAATCTTTGTCAAAATGGACTGATACTTTAAAGAATCCATGATATCTTTCATACAGTCAAGATTTCCACTTCCTGCAACAGCAAAGCATCCTCATAACAAGACTGATCCACCTATGTGTTTGACCATGGAGAGGGTGTTCTTCTGCTCAGGTCCCTACTGTGTGTAGCAAGACATTATGCCAGTTCTGTGACATAATGCTATTTCTTGTCTTAAAACCACATACTCTCTTGTTGCTTACTAGCCTTTACATTCAAACGTTACAGCTAAATGTATTGTGTTAGAATTGAACATCACATTTAAACGAGTCATAATTGTTTGTTAACATGTTCATACTCAAATCCAGTATAGCTTGATTCAGCAGCTCTTGAGTCTTGAGGCAGAATCAAGCCTTTGAAGTTTCAGTTCTGTGTTGAACTTCCATACAGGAACAAAGTTTCAGGAAAGAAACACTCAAGCAATCATGTACAACTATATATAAAATGCAAAATATGTATATTTTGCCCCTGAAGTCTTCTTAAAGTTACAAAAGCATTTTGAGATGTTTAGATTAAATGTTTCTCATGTAAGACAATACAGGAATGAAAAATCATATTCAAGAAAGTAATACAAAATTCAATAATTTCTGTTTTAGCTTTGAAACGTGATGTTTGACTGTTGAAAATGGGTTAAGCTATGCAATTAAATAATTATAACATCATAGTTATTAACACTATAGTTAATAATGCATTTGTTTTTGTCAGGATCAAAAGCACATTTAATGTTATTTTGTGGGAACTAATCAGAAGTAACTGTTCACATGTTATTTGCATGCTCATTCTCAGTGGGTTGTGCTTTGGGGTTTTGGTTTTTGATCATCAGAACTGCATCCTGTGTATGCATATATAACGGTTTCATTTGTAGCTAGACCACCACATCACACATCATTTTTTAGAACAATCAAGAAAGTTTTTTTTTTTTGTTTGTTTTTTCACTATGTTCACATTTGTCATGTTGATTATGAGACCAAAGCTCATGGAAGAACCTTCAGAAGACCCTTAAAGAGCAACTAAAGGATGTAAACCTCTACTCTCTCTCAGTTCAGGACATGAAAACAGCAGCAAAATGTGGTTGTGACTGGACATGACAGACAGGGAAGTGACAGATAAGATTGTTTTAATGAAACAAATTGCTTGATCTGCTTTTATGGCTATTTATTTATTAATTTGTTTATAAAGCCTGTAATAGGCATGTAATAAATGTGCTGTTACAATATTAGACAATATTAGTTGTTAAAATACAAGTTTGTGACTCCTACTGATTCTATCCAAACATAATTATCATATATACATTTAATATATAGTTAAACAATATATGCTTAATTTATGAAGTGGTGTAATTATTTTTATAATTTTATTTGTTAGCCTTCTATTTTTTATTCGTATACATTTTTTGCTGCTAGTCTTTGGAGGACCGCCGTTAGACGGCGCACCGTTTTGTTGTCAGTTGTGGAAAAGCAGTTGTTATGGTAGGCTACGTATAAATGTTGCTCATGATAAATATTTCCATCAAAACCTTTATTATTCTATCATTACTTTTAAAGAAGATATGATAATATTGAGTAACTATTGAAGCTATGTAACAATGTCAGCAGTGCTACGTTTAGGTTGCTACAAAAAACAGGCTGTTAGCCTATTAGCCTTGTGGCTTTTGTAAACCGCTGCAGGTTACATCTGTGTTTAGTCTATAGAGTCTATAAATTGCTAAAATCTTAAATTTACTGCTATTGTTATTTACTATTATTTATTATTTAGTTGCAATTTTTGTTGGCTTCTTGTTTTGGGCAATTGTTCATCCGTCAAGATCATCAAAGTGCTAAACCACTCAAATTGAGGCCTATAATGAGGCCTTTTGAATATTACAGTTGTGAATATTACATTGTAGCACATACAGTTTTAAATATACTTGTGGTGTAGTGGTTAAAGTTCTGGTTTGGAAACCAAAGGTTGGAAACCTACAAGGCCCAATCCATGAGTTATCGTCATGATAAACTGAATAATTAATGGCCTATAATGAGGCCTTTTGAATATTACAGTTGTGAATATTACGTTGTAGCACATACAGTTTTAAATATGCTTTATGTACAACTTGTGGTGTAGTGGTTAAAGTTCTGGTTTGGAAACCAAAGGTTGGAAACCTACAAGGCCCAATCCATGAGTTATCGTCATGATAAACTGAATAATTAATTTTTAGTTCACTTGAATTAGGTTTTCAGTGCCTTCAGGGGCAGGGTCATGATAAAACATGCAGTTTAAACATACATGACTTCTTTTGAGGAGTTCAAATCTTCATTAAGATGGTCAAACTTCCTTATAAGTCACACTCTGGACTGAGGTCCTGCTAACTGTTTTATTTGCATTTGTTTTCAGGGTACATTACACTGTCTCCCTCATCAACCCTCAGTGGGTCAAATTAAGGTATTTGTGTTTCTGAAATGGTTTGTATTTCCGTATGAAGTCAGAAAAATGGCTGACTCATAATTTTTTAATAATGCTTACCGTAAATGCTTATATTTGACAGTTCTAGCATTGTGTTAACCCTAACTACCGTACTGACCCGAATATAAGACGATGTTTTTTTCTTGGAAATACATCTGAAAAAACGCGGTCATCTTATATTCAGGGTCTAGACTTTGACATGTCAATAATACACCCACAACTATAGGTGGCGCCAAATACGCATAAAACGAGTGTGCCATGAAACTTATAATCAGGGTCGTCTTATATTCGGGCCAATACGGTAATTTATTTTTCAAAAGTAGCATTAAACTGGATTTTGTAAAAGAAACTACACTCTTTATATCATACTTTATATCATATACATCAGATTAGTTGATCAAAATATGCAATAGATTAATTACTGATTACCAATAGAATCAATAATGACATTAATATATATTTTTGTAAATTCCTAAAGGTAATTCATGACATTAACAAATGCAATGGTACATTTAGGCCCCTGTCCAGTGTGTGGAAAACCCTAAAGGATCGGGTGGAGTGATAATATATGACCAGAGGATGTTCACCATGAACAAACAACACTTGGTAAGTTTACAGTCTTTACTACTTCCACTCCAAAACTGAATGACAAGTGTCTTAGTTTATTAAAAGTCTGGTTTGGTTTTCTGCAGGTGGCAGTTCTTCTCTCTAGAGGTGAAAAACTCTGTCAGACCAGTTCTGTTGTAATGGCAAGTGAAGACAAGAAAGAAAAATGCCTCCCAAGACCTTAACATCACACCCTTTATACTTAAAATAAAGGCATTTTACCATAATTTGTGTCTTCGTGTCTTTCAAGAGGTCTATGTGGCAACTTAGAATAGACCCTATGTCAATATGAATATGTCCCCTCCTGAATAAAGGAGCAGGAAAATCGGTAAAAATTAAACATCCAACACAAAACTAGACCTTCAAATCACAATAGTGTCCAATTCACACAAATATAGTGAGTACACTACAAAATACAGGACTACAAGAAGCAGAGAAATACTCACTTTCTAGATGCTAAAGCTAATACAGACAGGCTAGTTCACTCGTTTTTTAATAGTGACCCATAGAAAACCCATAACTAGCTGCAAGGATGACAATAAATAGGCCTACGAACTTTACATTTAAAGATTAGCAATCCTCCCTATCATAAAAGAAGTACATGTAATGTTAATTCCAATTAAATGGAAATGAATTGTAGTTTAAATTTATATTAAATACAGTTAGTTGAACTTTAGGTCCGTTTTTTCCCCCAAGTAGGAAAATAAGTGCACTTCAATCAAGCGTGAAAATATGTTTTGAAGCATAATTAAAAATTCATGTTTTAAAGTAAAACTTTTAATATTATATTACTTAAGTTGGTTAATGAATAGTTATGAATGTGTACTTTTTCAGTACACTTAAGTGGCTTTTTATTTCAGTAATATCATGTTATTTGCAATAATTTTATATACAACATTTGAAGTAAACTACAAGAGCACATTCACAACAATTAAGCACAGTTCTTCTTCACAAGGGTTAGACCTGTTCACTATAATTGCATACATTTATATTGCTATGTTTAGTTAGCATGTTGGTCTTCTGCAGGTTTGCCACATTATTGTGAATCAGAGACCACTGTATTTTTGAGATTTTCATTCAACCGAGCAGGAAGGCAGTTTCATCCAGGTTAACTATTAAAAAATGTCATTTCCCAAATACGCCATTCCCATGATAGATTACTAATAAAAGGGAAATGTAACTTTTTTGTTTGTTTGTTGCTTAGGAAGTTGTCTTGCAAATTGTGAAAAGAGGGAGTTTGACAACAAAAAAATCTGACTTAATGAAAGAACTGATGCTGTCCAATTTCTTGTTATAACTTTCTAAAAGAAAGGTTGGCTTGTTGAAGCATGTATAAAGTTCATACCAATGAATTACTGAACATTTGGGAGGAGTCCTGTGCACTTCCAGATCACTGAGATATATCTGAAGCCTGTTAGTCATTTCCAGGCAGTGACTGAGGAATCATATTCACAAATCATTTTTCTGCTTTACTTTGTGTTTTTCTACCATAAAATATATTTGTATTGGATTTCTGCATATTTTTGGCAATGGCATCACTTCAAAATATTGCTGAGCATCGCAAATGAAGGTTCAGGTTGAGAATATGCTTTGCACATGAAGCCAAGGGTCTACAAGATTAACCAAACTCTACAAGGACATGAAAGGTAACACACAGACTTAAACTGGTTCATCTGGACATTCTGGACATTCATTGATAGTAGTGTAGATACAAATGATCCATGTTACTAAAACATACAAGACAAACATGAATGCTTTAGGCTCTCTATTGACATCTGTAGTTGAAATGTAAAATTGCATGTTAAATTTCACAATACAAGTAACATGCAGAGGATTTCATATAAACTATGCTTCAGCACTGCTTTTCTGTGGGGATGAATCTTCAAAATTTGTAATTTCAGCTTTTCAATATGACAGTGCCCTCAAAAGCCTACCTAGGGGTTGATAAGTTGCAAAGTTGTATATATGTGTATGCTGCCCCAGTGACCAGTTAAAGGCACCATGCATGGACATTTTTCTGACAATATATCAAATGGAATTGATTAGCTATACCAAGAAAGCCAAGACATATATCATAATATATCACCTGAACAAGCAAGCAGCAGATGACGTAGAAGACATGACGTAAACACGCAAAGACGTCGCATATAAAATTGGCGCCATTTCACACATGCAGTGACGTGGGCCAAGAGAGGCTTTTACAATTTTGAACAATTACAAACAGCTATAGATTGGTAAACGTTGAATAGATGTAAATTTCCAAGGACAAGAGTGAGATACATTCACTTTTGAGATCCAAACACACCATTAATTGATCTACGGCAGTTTTAGTTGCTCTTCGACGTCTCCGTCACCGACGCCATGGTATGTGAAGTAAGGAAAATGTTACTGTCATCATCTAATTTGTTAGTTGTGATAAAAATAATTAGCTTCACTCTATAACTTTTTACTGTAAGTTAAGTCTATAACTCATTACAACAATTAGCATATGTACAGTGAGTGTTCACAGAGGGTTTACATTTAAAAGCATATCATGCATGAACTTGTATCTAATATTTTTTTATAATGTGTTTTAATCAATATAGTTTCTTATTTAAGTTAAAGAAACATCTTTAAATCATTGTTGTATGTGTTACAGAGTGTGACAGAAGCAGAAAACACTGGAGAAATTCACCCTGAAGCTGGTTTTGATAATACAAACACATTTAAGTAAGTAAATAATACCTGTACTCTGTTATATTATTAGTTTACCATGTTATTATTTGTGACCCTGGACCACAAAACTAGTCTTAAGTCACTGGGGTATATTTGTAGCAATAGCCAAAAATACATTGTATGGGTCAAAATTATAGATTTTTCTTTTATGCCAAAAAACATTAGGATATTAAGTAAAGATCATGTTCCATGAAGATATTTTGTAATTTCCTACTGTAAATACATTAAAAAGTAATTTTTGATTAGTAATATGCATTACTAAGAACTTCATTTGGACAACTTTAAAAGCAATTTTCTCAATATTTAGATTTTTTTGCACCCTCAGATTCCAGATTTTCAAATAGTTGTATCTCGGCCAAATATTGTTCTATCCATACAATACCATACATCAGTGGAAAGCTCATTTATTCATATAAATCTCAATTTCGAAAAATGTACCCTTATTACTGGTTTTGTGGTCCAGGGTCACATTAGCTTTTTTATTCCTAGTTTTAGGGTTCAGACTACTGATAGCTACACTGTAAATAGGTTGCTATAAATTTTACAGTAACTTACTGGCAGCTGCATGCCAGTAATTTACTGTAAAAATGTTTAAAGTATTATTACTGTAATTGCATTTACAGTACAATAATGTCTTTACTGTATTTTATTTACAGTATTATTACCGTATTTTCATTTACAGTATCAGTACAGTATTAGTATTAGCTCAAATGTTAAATGAAAATTAATTAGTATTTGCTCAAATTTTGTGAAATTCTGTAGACGTGATTTTAAACGGTTCAATTGTTCGATATTTTAAGGTTTCTGTCCAGTATGTGAACGACCAAGAAGCGATTTCTGAAGACACATTTGAGGATGATAATATATTAATTAGGCCTACTGTAAAGGTAATGAGAAGAGGGCTTGGATCACGGTTGCTCTGAATGAATTAAGATTGATTACTAATGATTACGCATTTTCAGCTTTCAGTGCAATGCATGGAGAACCAGAGAGGCCTTCATGGGCAAATTGTGTATGATGATGTGTCATACCCCATCTATCTCCAACCTCAGGCTGAGCCAGATGATGATGAAGGCATTGTAATCGACACAGAGGAAGATAAAGGCCAGGAATTATACTATGTGCATTTGATGTGAACTGCATCATATAGAAGGTCAGGTGGTTATAGCTTGAAGGTCTTTTCACATTAAGAAAGGTTTAGTTAACATGGAATGAGATGATGACGAGATTATTTCTGGAGACTCGCTTCAATTATCAAGCGTAGCGTTAGTTCTGGCAGGTCACATCAGTCAAGCTCGCATCAGTTGACTCTCAGCTATAGGAATATGACGCCTACCTCAGCATATAAGGTTCTTCAGCTTTCTCGTTGCTCAATAGCTAATTACTCTCCTCCATCCCCAACTCCTCCTCTGTCCAGTCAGGATTCTCCATTGAATCAGACTAATTCTAAAATGTGTACATTAAATTATTGAACAATTATGATATCTGCAATACATTTATGTTGGTTCTGTTCTGTTTACCCTGTTTATTGCTGCGCTCTCTGTTCTTATCCATGCTAGGCAGCAGAACTGAACCATACTGCCAATTCAAAACGTATGCTAATTGTCAATCATCTTTGACAATAGTGGTCCTGACAGAAATCCATGTTCAGTAGTGTGGAAACAAAACATTTAACAAGCACTTTTGTTTGAAGTAATGTGAACAATTTGACATGAAGGAATAAAGGAAGGACATTATTAATGTCCACTAAATTACAAGTTATAAATGTTTACTTAATTAGATTTTTTGCACAGTTAAACATGAAGTATATAATTTTTGCACCACTAAATTCCCGAAACGGAATTGTAGAAATGATTAGGGTATGGGTTTCCCCCAGTTCCTAAAAGTTGAAGTTGTTATAATGCTAGCTTTGTCTGATGCTACACTGTAAAAAATGACCGTGAATTTAATGGTAAAAGACTGTAAAAATGCTACAGTAAAAACTTGTTAAATGGTTAACGGTAAATTCCCCTACTATATACGGTGAAAAACTGTATTGGACATTAATTTTACGGTAGTATACCGTTTTTGGAAGTGAAAAAGACCGTATAATTTACAGTGAATAACCGTAAATTGACATTCCCAGAATTCCCTGCGTTACATTTCAAATTTGTTTTTTTGTTGAAATAACTATGTTTCTTCTTAGTTTTTTCTTATCAGTTTTGTATATTAGGGTTGTGTGTTACACCTAATGTTGTTAAATGAATGTTTATTGCATTATTTCAGTTTCATGTGTGTTACCATGATGGTGTTTGGTGTTTGTGTGAATGACACTGTGCACCTTCTATATATGTTATTATTTAAAAGCTGCTTGTGATGGGCTTTGGTTCATCATGTGACTTTCTCATAACCACCAAATGCAGGTGATGATCAGTGTATTACAAAGGTACAAAACAGATTTCAGTACTTCAATAGGTTGGTATATTAACATTATATCAGTTAATGAAATTACGGTATTTAACTGTCAATTTAAGTTAAAACCGTAAAACCTAAAACGTTGCTACCGTATTTTTTAATTTTTGTAATTTTACGGAATTGTTTTTACAGTGTATTAATGTGAGTTTACTGCTAAAAAATGACTGAATAAATTACCACTGAGTGAACGATGAACTATGTCTTCTTTTTAGAGCTGCTTTACAGCACAATTGAATTTTGTTTGCATTATTGACACACTATTTTTCTGATTAACACTGTAAAGCTGCTGACACATTCTGTATTGTATAAAGCACTATATAAATAAAGATGACTTGACATACTTCTGTCCAATTCTCTAGAATGTCAATGTAATGCTATGGCATTAATATTTGTCCTCAAAGAAATGACCAACATAACCAAATCCATACATTTGATTATATAACCTGCCATACTCCACTGCAGCACTGTAAAAAAAAAAAAAAACTTTCTTTGAACCCAAAAACATACGTTTTTTAAACTTCAAAAAGCCTCATAAAAGTACCATAAAATGGCAGACATGACTCATTCCAAGTCTTGTGAAGTCATACAATATCTAAATGTAAGTAATTGTTCACTGTAAATCTTAACATTCACGCCAGCCTTCCGTGAGAGTTCATGAAAAAAGTAGTGATGTCTGATTCATGAATTAATCATTCACAAACTGGACAATTTGTTGAAAAGATTCAAAATAAAAGAACAATTCATTCACAGTTTCAGTGATGTATTTCTCAGGATTTTTATAAAGTACTTGACCTTGATTACCTTAAAATGTGTTTTTTCTTTAAAAGAAAAGAAAAGAAAATATGCTTTATAAAGATTACGACTATGAGACCTAGTTTATTTGTAAATTGTTCAGTTTATTCATTTTATTAACCGTCATCCTGGAAGAACTGAGAATTGATGAATGCTTAGTTTCTATTGGCAAGAGCACATTTTTGGAAATTTCCAGTACCCTTGTTATCTTTCTATGAGTTTTGTCATGTGTTTACTGTATGACTGTCATGTCTGCAGTTTTCTCTGCTCCAATCAAGATAAGAAAGCACCGAGAACCCTGCTTTTGTATGTGTGGTTAACCAGTGCTCTGCATAACAGAAGCAATGCAGTAGTTATGATGTTCCCACCTACTTTCAAGTCATTATCGTTCAGAGATGACTAGAATGAGGGAGAACTGTAAAATGAGACTTGATGACTTGAAAATGAGAAGCTAAAAACTTAATTTCTATCATTTTCAGTATTTTCTATTTAACAAATTTCTATTATGGATTTGGACTGGATTGAAAAGAAATAAATTGACTACTATTTTGAACCCAGAGAAGACAACTGGAACATACAACCTATGGATTTTGGAGGTATGTTCAAGTATACATAATGCAATTTCGCTTCTGCTGTTTTACAGCAAAATGAACTAACATACAAATGACTGAAAATGAAATATCAGATTTGATTAATCCACTTTAGGCCTATAGAAGGATACAGAAGAATCATTAAACTAATAGAATTAGCATTAGCATTAAATTGTGAATTAAATATAGGTTTTTATAGCAATTTAGTGCTGTGAAAAAAACCTTGAGATTCTTTAGAAAACAACATCAGGCATAAGACTGAAAATAAAAGAAATTGTAGAAATTCTCAAGAAGGGACTTAGTTCATTTATTTGTTTTGCATAAATTTGAAATGGGATGAACAATGCCTTAAGTCCCTGCTAGGAAAATGCACTTTAAAAAAAAAAAAACTAAGCCTTGTGGATATCTATATCCTTGTAAATAATTCTTTTAATATTCCATAAAACATTTTTTTAATCTGAACAATGACTAACAATGACTGGACAATAATTGTACAGTACAGTAATCATAAGGATGTTTTACTTGTTGCTCTTAGCTGGTATGATATGTTATAATTTACAGTATATGCCATTTTATCATACATGTAGTGTGAAATAAACATGTGCTGTGTGTAATACGCTCTGACTCTGAAGGAGTCGTTATGTTTAGGGTTTTTTTTTTCTTGTGCACATTTTATGATTATTTTAATTTATTTTCTGTAAAGCACTTTGAATTATCATTTTGTATGCAATGCTGCTCTATAAGTAAAGTTGGCTTGACAAGTTTTGCTGCCGTTGCTTTTAGATGATTGGCTGTACAGTAGTAGCTGATGAAAAATATTATTTTGGCAAGTATACGGTGGTCTTAACTCTTTTGTGAATTTGATGTATGAACGAATCCATCCAAATCTTATAGGTCACAATATAGGTCACATGTGCCATTCAATCCGGAAGGTTAATATTTGTTTCCGGTTGGTCGGTGGCTGCGATCAATGAAAAACAGGCGACCAAAAAAAAAAGCCATTTTCCAACAACAGTGTTCATCATAATATTTAAAAATTAATTGTTCTTATACAACATCTGTTATTAAACAGCTTGGAACAGATTGTCAACACAATGGTACGGTAAAACTATCATTGCGTGATGACCTCGAAGTGTTTTAAAAGAAAATTTGTGCTACAACATTACATGTTATATATACTCTAATTTCTAAAGTTCTAAGATAATAATAAAATAACGTTTCTCATTAAATAAGGGTCAAACTTGCTGCAAATTTGCTCAAGAACACCCTGTGGAGGAACACACTCTCTTGACGCAAGAGGCTGTGGCTGATAAGCTGTCATCTAGTCAAGCTCAGGTATATCATTATACAGACAGAATTATTTTAGGAATATGAATAATGCACAATCTCTACAAATGCCTGTATGAATATTTCAGATTTCCGTCCAATGTAAGGAAAACTCTGAGGGTCAAGACGGAACAGTGCTGTTTGACACGGAAGCCTTTCCCATGGCCAACATCCACTGTCCTAGCAGTGTAGAAGATCTTCCTGAAGGTCAATGTAAACAGCAGTAGATCTCTGCAGATCTCCTCATCAGTTATTCGGGGATATTTCGAACATAAAATCATCTTAACAAGATTCTTTCTTTGTTTTCTGAATAATTTGGTCATGAAAATGTAAAATGTTGAATTATTAAAAGTTAAAAAGAGCAGTTGGTTATTTTTGTAAACCTGCGGTTTTGGTCTGTTGTCACGACTAGAACTCATATAAGACCACACACACAAACACACAGCAGTATTGCTAGGCTTCCAGCGAGCGCCATCAAACCTTCACAGAAGCACACGAATGCCCGAATCCTCTCAGAGAGCTCCTAATTTAGCTTAATAATTTCTATCTAGGAATTTTAGCTTAAGAGTGATTCAGGACCAGTCTGAGAGCAACTCTGATTGAGGCAAAGACAAAAACTTCATCTTAGTGAGGAGGCGGGGCTGACACCGTTGCTAGGTATGACACATTCTTTTGAAGACTGTGATTGGTAGTCCAAGAAGAAAAAAAGAGCACTTTTAAATATATACATTTAAAAGACCACCTGTCATAATAAAGAGAGAAAACAAATATTTTAAGAATCTGTCAAAAACTTTTTTTTAACAAAACATTTCCTCCTCAAGGCCTTCCCTCTTTTGACTGTGATAACAGCTTGCATTCTTGCTGGCATTGTTTGTACTTTTGCACAGTTTCTGTTGTTATTAACTTCCAAATAGTTTCTAGTTGTTCCCAGAGACTTGCTTTTGATGAAACTTTTGTGTGATCTATCTTTGAATTCATTAAATCCCAACAATAATTATATTTTAGCATCAGAAATACTATTGTAACTAAAGAGTTTACACATACTGGTGTGCAGGGCCGTTTCTAGCCAATTTGACGCCCTAGGCGAAATCCCTATTGCCCCCTATATATATCGAAATCCCTATATATATATATATATA